AGACAGCTCAACTTACTTAACTGATCTGTTTTCGTTAAAGGCTTCAAGCACTATACTTAAGTATACCATAATTCTTTCAACTAAATTGAATTATACGACAACCAAGAATACTAAACTAAGCAAGTGTCATAATTATTTTCTCATTTGCACAGACATGTTGCTCAAAGTAGTTAAATGGATATAATTCAGACGATAAAACCAATCACGAAATATAGGCCAGTCGAACTTACCTAGCAGAAGACAAAGGATATATATATTGCTTTCAGACTGAAGACAACAGTCAGATGTTCATAAAAACACAGTTTACAGTACAACAAACCCTTCTTCAGTAACATTATGCACTGACGGTCTATCTGGAAACAATCAACTATGTGATTGAACTCACTATACCTTGAGATATCATTACGGCGTTTTTTAAAAATTTTATTTCAACACATAGATGATGGTACGAAGAGGCACCAAATACATATGCGCCACACAAATCTCCTTCGATATGTGTGAAGGCTGTGATACTGCCCGGGTACCCAAACCGAAGCACGTGGTTTTCTTAGAGGGCCACTCCCCGAGCCTTCGACCTGAAGGTCTGATCCACAAGGCAGTGGAGCATCGTGGGGAAACGCAGTCCCATGGAAGCCGGTGACCAACAATTGGTTCATACGCCATTTGTTCCCGCAGGATACTGGAGCCCATGCGCACCATTGGTTTTGAATCCGGTTAAAGCGCCGGACATTCGCTCCCCGCCCTCTCATTTTTGTAAACAACACCCCCCGCCACGAGAAGGCAGTGAGTAGGACTTCCCTGGCAGATGCTATATGCGCATGGCCATGTGGGGGCATTTCAAGAGGGAGAGCGGACTCTCCTCACTCTCGGCCGTACCAGGGCCATTACAGTGTGCGATGAACTTACAGTGTAACGCAGTCAGACGTGGCGAATAAAAATTAAAAACAGCAAAATTAACATCATAATCTAGTTATTTAATAAAAAAGACATTATGAAATGACAAATTCTATTATTACTTGAACGAACAGCTGACCGTTATTGCACTGTGCGACACATTAGGCTTACATGGTTGCGCTGCGGATAAAATCACCCGAGAATTTGGCAAGGTAAAAACGGTAATCCCGTTCAAATCTGTCCGCCGTTTCGTTCCAACGACCTTGAACGCGCTGACTGGAAGCGGGCATTCCGTATTTCATTTGCCGTGTGTATGTTGGGTCCTATGAGTATTAAATTTTTCCATATATAAGTCCTCTTTTGATGCATAATAAACACTAAATAACTGCTAAGAGCATTAAATGAGTATTTTCTGTTTTGTAGTGCACACTTTAGCTCTGTTGTTCCTTCGTAACTTGATCTGTGGTCCTAAGTGCTGTAGTGAAAGTCAACATCTATATATAATTTGTTGATAAGGTCCAGAAAACAACAATGTGGTGTAAAGATGGCGGCTTATTGTCTTGTGTCTGCTTGAGTCACTAAAACAAACACATCAACATCGGTAATGTATTCGTGAATAACGTTCAAGATAGTCTTAAGAATAATATGTAATAATTGTAATTTCATCTTCAAAAGTTTGAAAATGCACTGGTGATCTTGATATTGTTCACCGGAAACTTTTAACGAATGTTCATGAATGTAATAAACTTTCAATTTTTGACGCCGTGGCATTGATTTTTGGCATCAATCGGAACAGTACATCTTGGTTAATGACAGGGAGAAAAAGCAAGTAACAGCCATCCCTAACAAATGGCTGCTGAACAACGAACTGTTTGTATTAAGTTGTTTGTAGGTCTTCTGTGTTCACTATTCCGAAGTGCAACTTGTTTAGAGAAAGAAATAACGCATGGCATGGATACTGCAAGCCAGGCTTTCTTTCACGACACAGGGGATAAAGTCAATAAGCGTGGATGGTCATCCGAAGAAAAAGTGAGCTAAATTCATTTTGGATCTTTGATTAAATACCGGTTTTTGCTTTGATACTAGTTTGTGATAAACATCCTGAAACAATAATTTATTTACGATCTTGTTTTCAGCTGGCTTTGCAAGTGTTAACAGATGTAACTGTACGTTTTTTCATTCGGTTTATTTTCAATATTGTTATACCGTTGGTACGTCACCAACCTTTTACATGATATTCAGGATTCATAAGTTCGATGATTGTCACGACATGTGTTTGCCTACTAAAGAGTACTTTTTTTCTTTTTGTAGAACACAGTGAATGAAAGTTCAACATCAATTTAATGTAATTATTCAAAACACGAGCAATTGTTAGGAAATGGAAGGTGTCTATTAATTTATAATTTACACTTGTTTAAACTTTAATAAACATTTTCATTTATAACACATCAGTCTTTTAATTACGGCAATGCTGATCTACAGTGACAGACCGGTTCTTGTCACCAACTATGTTTCAATTGCTTTGGGACTGCGTTCATTTTGCGAAGTTAACAGAAAAAATGAAATAAATGCCCGAAAACGTCTGGGTACTTAGTATTAAATCGTCAGGCTTCCTTGCAGTTTTCCGAACACGGTATTTGCGATAATCGGAAATCGTGTGAAATATCCGCAACAAACGATAAACTATCGGGGTTCAATCACAGAACGTAGATGCGTTTCCCCAAAGTTGTCGAAACTTTTTGTGTTTTATCAATCAATATAAACGGATTCTGTGGAAATTTTGGGGTCCTTGTGCCATTTCCCCAAAATTCTCTATAGCGACTTTCCCAAAATAGGGAGATTGGGTTCCCCATGATAGGCGAACAAGCAGGGATTCTGGCGTATTTTCCCGTTATTTCTACTTTCTTTTCTAACATTTTCCATTTTGTTGGTTGCTTGGGCTTTCACAACTCCTGATGCCTGTTTCGATCAGGTTCATATGGATTTGGTAGGATCTTTACCAGATTCAAATAGACGCTCTGCTTAAAGTGTGTAAACAGTTTCACTTGATGGTCATAAGCAATGCCTATTGAGGACATTACTACTGAATCAGTGGCCCGTTCCTTCGTCAAACGGTGAGTGGAAAACTCCGGCTACCCTTCAACCGTCACAACAGACCGTGGACGCCAGTTCGAATTCGGAATTCTTCCTTGTCGTATTACACTATCAGGCATCATACGATTCCGAAAGACTCACCGCAATTAACCTCTTTGGAAGATTTGACCAGAGGTTGAGACGTGTTCCTAGATTTGACTCACCAGTTGTAGTGAGGCGTCGAGTCGTTGTTGACTATGGTCACCGCTACAGGAAGACTACGTGCCAGTTAACCGATAAGATCCCCCGTAAGCCAAATATCTGAAGGCAGTCGGTGGCTGTAGTCGAGATGTATTTGTTGGCGATCTCGTGGTATAGAAAGAATACCGAGATCGCGCCGAAGGAGTACAAGTGTGGTCACTGAGCGTAACCGAATTCGCGCAAAGTCACAATCAACGGAAGAAGGAATGTCTGTAGTACAGTTGAACAAACAAGTATGGTAAAACAATCCCTGGTACAATTGGTTATAATAATAATAATTGTTTCCATTACACAAATCGCGTTCTCTTGATAAAAGTAATTCACTGCAATGTCATCATCAATGTCGAAGACCTACAGAACCATTTATTCTGGGGACTTATTTACCGCTTCCCACACCTTGGTTACTTATGTTCTCTCCGGTATCTTTTGGCTCACTTATCGGACTAATATCCAGCATCTTCGATTTGTCATCTTGAAGAGACAACTTCGTTTTGCAACCTATACTTTGGAATTATAGTCCATGATACAACTTACAAGCACCAGTTTTTAAACCTCTGACTACCAGATGATCGATAACTTCACGTAACTAATTCACGATCGCCTTCCTGAACTATTATACCTCTGTCCTTTAATGTAGTCCGCTAAATACGGCTGTTACTAGAAACCGACAGTGACGAACAGAAAACCATCGACGTCACTGACAAGTTTCCTGTTCTAAACCAATGACGCTTTGAACAGTGAAATCAGATGACGGTGCACTGATTGTACTACTAATGTACGATTACAACTCTCGATAAAAACTGCGTTGCTTGTCTAAAAAACTATCAGTCAGGTGTCAGCGACGTCAATTTCAATATAACACAGTGGAACACTATAAAATAGTCACTTAATAGTTTTTGTAAATCAACTTGCACCCACACAACCTACGCGTCATTATTAGGCACATCAATAAATCCGAAATTTCTAGATTCATTATTTTACACTAGTTTCCGACCGTCTATTATCTCCTGCTTTCAATTTACCCTACAGCTTATCAGTACCTTGAAGATGCTTATCGATTTCGTGATGGCCCCTGGAGCGTAATACTACCATCGATTTAAGCAGACATTTAGTTTGATGGGAGAGTATTATAGGGACAGAGAAGAGTCACTGACTGAGATTACCCGTCATGCTGGATGATTTCTACGCTAAACTACAGATCACTGATCATCGGAAGGTCTATCGAACATAGTTTAGGACAGGCTCTTGTGGAGATGGCTCTGACTTGTACCTTGGTAACCTCTTTGTGCTTGTATATACTGCTGTCCATTAAGTATTTTTATAGCCAGACACCTATGAAGTCAATAAGTTTGTTTATCGCGACAGGGTAGGACAGATTAGGTATTGTCTCAATGGTCAACTTCGAAATAAAACAGGTTTTACTGTTCCTATTTGACTGGAGTAGACGCAGAACATCCACTTGTGATCCACAGACTAATTTGGATAATCTCTGCAGGAATGATAAGTAATGGCCCCTTCTAATAAGCCCTCAGGAGGAGTGTTTCATATTCACTCTAGTTCCAAGTTATCAAAAGAGATTTCTGAAGTTGTTTTTTATCGATCTTCAGTATTATTAATTAATGTTTTCATCCCTTTATCTTACTAACTAAAATGATAACTGAGGACTTGTACGTCTAATAGTATTCTCATTAAACTCAGGCAAAGATTCTGAAGAATATAACAGTCAAGTATTTCTGTCCATCAAAGTTTTCATCCGTAATACGTACCGCGCTATACGACTAATGCCGATGTGGCGCGTATGATAACGATCCTCGCGAAGAGTAGGATTTTGTCGCTCCGTAACATTCTTACTTCTGCTACTCTCAAAATGTCTAGTACTCAGGGAGAAATTGGTAACCCGTAAGTTGTTATCGGGCCGTTTTTATTCGTGATAGTATATCACAACGGAATGATGTCCATCACAAGAAAGATAATATAACAAAAGAGGACTCGGTTGACGCCACAGTAAGAGAATGCTAACGATTAATTTTATTTCAGAGTTACCATGAAATGCGGAAAAATGCTATTTCAGAGCTCAAAAAGACCCAGGGAAATCCATATCCACACAAATTTCATGCAACTATTTCGCTAGCTGATTTTATCAAGAAATATTCATCTTTGAGTCCTGGTGAACATTTGGATGATGTCTCCGTCAGTATCACAGGTAGAGTCTATTCGCTCACCTGATATGATTTGTAGGCCGTGTTCATGCAAAGAGGTCAGCTGGATCAAAATTAATATTCTATGACATTCGATCTGAAGATTGTCGGTTACAAGTCATGGCAAACATTCGTTCCTACAAATCAGAAACTGAGTTTCATGATATAAATGAAATAATCCACCTGGGTGATATCATTGGCTGTATTGGTTCTCCAGGTATTAACATAATATGTAAGTAATAATGTTTCAGGCAAATCCAAACTTGGTGAATTGAGTATCATTCCTCACGAAATCAAACTTCTATCTCCGTGTTTGTACCAACTTCCGCACATGCATTATGGCGTTAAGGACAAGGAAACCCGTTTCCGTCAACGTTATTTGGATCTCCTCATGAATGAGGACGTACGGCAGCGATTCATTACACGGGCTCGCATAATCAATTACGTCCGTAGATTCTTAGATGATCTTGGGTTTCTGGAGGTAATTAGCTAAAAATGTTCCATTGTATTGCGTAAAGTCTCTCAAACCAATCATTTTGCTGAAACGAGGTAAAAAAATCTGCAAATTAAATCATTATTTGTTAGCAGATTGCAGTTTTGTTTTAAGGTTGAACAGTGATAAGTTATGTAAAAATAAATGAACAAACTGAGATTACTTATGGGGGATTTTCACGCTGATACTTTTAGTAGCTGCCGGTCAGCGATTTATGCTTATGTTAATGCCATTATTTTAATATATGACAATATTAATAATCTTTCGGTCGACATTTTTAACTTTCGCGATCAGACCATTAAAAACAGACTACCCTCCTAAAGATATCCTGGGTCTTTATGCCCCACTTGTTATTAACACACCAAATTTAAAAGCTGCGGTTTTATGTCCACAATCACAGTACTGAAATGTTAGTTACTGTGGAAGTACTACTAATCAAAACGTAAAAACATCAATTTAACAAACTTCAAAAATAATCCATTTCACTGCAAAACATCCGTGTATGGATAAGTGAATCTCGTAAATCATAGGCATTGCTAGACTTGTTACAGATATTTCTCGTTTAAATCGTCGGTTCTCATTATTTCAAGGCGCAACTCTGTTTGTATATGGGAATTTTAAGATATATATATATATATATCTGAGCCGTGTTTGTCGCGTCTGTATGTTTAGTATCAGACTCACGGCGAGCAATCTATCAATTCAGCCTAAAATGATTCCTAAAGTGATTTGAATTTACAATCAGTATATGAAGCCTCAGAATGTCGAATTATGGAGTATTAGATTGTGTTTTAATTTAATTGATGTTAGTTTGTCGTTTTAAAACTAGCATATTAATATAAGCGCACATCTTTCATCTATTAGTCCACTTATTCGAACTGTCACCCATTTCATTGTATATCCAGGCAATATCATGAATAAAGCTTATCACTGTGGGTCATCGTGCAGCAGCGTTATGTTGTTATACCAATAAAATCTTCACACCTTATATAAGATACACTTGTGATCATATTTGGTATCATTAGTTTGTTCACCGTTTTGTTAAATTATTATAAGAATTTTAGATCGACCCATTTACTAAGTACTTGAATATGAACTACTGTTGGTGTAACGGTTTATGATAATAGCCTGCTCTAACCGGTGTACCTGGCTTCAACCAGGGAATTGGTTTGTGAAAGTAAAACTCCCTAACCATTAAGTCATCGTTTTGTAGGTTGTATGCAAAATAAAGATGTAAAACTAGACAAATCGATTCACTAACATTAGTAACATTTGTCTCAAGTAGTGAATGATAGGAACAAATAAAATTTACCAAATTGCAATGTGGGAAGTGCGTTAAATTTCAACTTGCTTTAAACTGATATTCATTACAAAAACATGAGTTCCAAGGATTTATTTTTGCAAAAGCAACTACATGATGGCAGTATACAGTATAATTCTCATTCACCTTTAATAGTTATTTAAACTTACTTTTAGGTTGAAACACCTATGATGAATACAATTGCTGGTGGAGCAGCAGCAAAACCATTTGTCACGTATCATAATGACCTAAATATGAATTTATATATGCGTGTTGCACCAGAACATTACTTGAAAATGCTTATTATTGGAGGACTCAATCGTGTCTACGAACTTGGTCGTGTGTTCAGGAATGAAGGCATTGACTTAACTCATAATCCAGAGTTTACTTCATGTGAATTTTATATGGCGTATGCAGATTATGAAGATCTGATGACTATTACTGAAGATTTGATTTCTGGTAAAAGATTGAACTTTTTCCTAGTTTGCTCTTTATTCTTTTATTAATTTATAGAACGTTTATTTGCCATTTTTAGTTGAAATTTGCTAACCTCACTCGAGGTTTGGATGATGAAGCTTAGTATAGATTTACAGTTGCACATATCTTTTTGCTTGTCTTTTGAACATTTTGTTAGACTGTTTGGTATGTTAGATTTTATCTTCTATATTTTTGCCCATGATTGCTATCTCACCACGTTACTTAGTGTATTCAACGAAATAAAGTTAGTCCTAGTACAGTACGAAACGGCCGTCCAGTGCTTCCAGGTTTTCAATCGTGGTCTAACATTGGTCGGTTTACGACCTCAATGAAATTCAACAATCTCCACAACTCTATACTGAAAATTAGTGATTTTAACATGACTATCAATATCTAACTGTAATCTGGTAGTTTTGTATGAATAAATGTTTAGGATAAAAATGCGAAGATTAGATATAGTCAAGTGTGTACCTGGTGGAGAAAGGGAATTATTTCGTTAGGCGCTTGATTATCTGACGAGAAGCCATGTTTGCATATGAATTTCATTAAGTAGTCATTCCACTTAGTGAGGTATTTTAAATGGTCTAACGGTACGCTTCAACATAAGTTATATTCTTTTATGCTGCAAGAAACTATGCTTACATTTCTAGACATGATTTTCGCGTTCAAATATGGGTTTTTCATTATTATATGTACAGCTGCCCTCGACCCTTGATTCTCTGCTGAACATTTCCATCCAGTTTGTCAAGGTTATATGCACGAGGCAATTTGTATTTTTGTTTATTTATTCTTAACTGAATTTCCCTCAAGATTTTGTGAGTTGGACTCAATCATCAAGTTCAGATTAATGTGTTTGACTTTAAATTAGGCATTTTGGATAGTGACTAGTAGTACTGACTGCTTACTCAAGTCGAAATAGGTAAAGAAGTGTTCCATTCTGCAACGCAAGGGTCAGAATTCGAGTTCTGTAACGCATGGTTTTTCTTATTACGACCCAGATACTCTTTTTGCTTAGTATTTCTTGGACACTGCTTCATTCGACAAGTCCTCAAGCGAAAACACGGCTGAACAGAAACGTAGTTATATTCCAATTAGAAATCACAATAAGAAAAAAGTTTGTATATTTTTAATTTTTACGTAAGAAGATTCCAGTCTTCTCCAAGTCTCCACTGGCGCTGATTGATTAAGAAATAGCCAATCAGCGTGCTCCAACATAATTCTGCACGGAACGCGCTTTAATCCAATCTATATCCCACTAGCAATAACTGTTGTATCTCGTGATTTTATTTATTTCGGCCCACAGTAATTGTTATTTACGAAAGGTTAAGATTATTCTGATGCGAACGGAATCTATTGAGAGCTTGATAGAGTAGCAACTGAAACAACTCTCCGACAATAGTCCCTAACTAAAGTACTCACAATGAAGGCAGCAATGCGGTCGAAAACTTTGTATTTTCGAAAATAAAACAACTATGTATGTAGTGACCAGGATAATCTTGAGACGAAAATTGGCAGACTGAAAGTGGAAACAAGCAATCATAAAAATAGAAAGGGCCATTCAAAATATCGAACTCGTGGTTATCCGTACAACGAATACCTAACACGTATTCACAAACCAAATAACCTAGGGTCTTTCTAGCGATAACCGCCAAGTCATCGTTGTTTTTTATGTAGTTAGTTATGAAATGTGTTGCGAGTATCGCAATACAAACACAACTTAAACCCACTTTTAATTCATACAGCCTAAAACCATAATTTTCTCAAGGTTTTCAAACAGTTCGAAAATGATTTATCAGTTAATGAAAAATGGAAAACGTGAGGTGTTAATTAGACTTTTAATATTGTTTCATCAGTGGTACTTAGCTAGTCGATGTAAAAAAGTTAGATTTAGTTACATTTTATTCGTCGCAATTATTATTGTTTTTACGTCAAAGTCGTAGATTGGTGGTTACATCTTAATTTAGGAATCTGGATTATATCACTAATCAATGCTTGGTGTATTAAACAGTCTTTGAATAGTTATTGATGTAAATTTAAACTGTTGTTTTGGCCATCAGAGGAATAGTTATCACTGTTTAGTCTATTATTGACAAAGGTAATTTCCATGGACATAGAGTTCATCATTTGTGTGTGGGCTGTGATACTGCCCGGGTGCCCAAACCGAAGCAGGTGGTTATCTTAGGGGGCCACTCCCCGAGCCTTTGACCTAAAGGTCTAACCCACAAGGCAGTGGAGCATCGTAAGGAGATGCAGTCCCATGGTAGCCGGTGACCAACGATTGGTTCATACGCCATTCGTTCCCGCAGGATACTGGAGCCCATGTGCACCATTGGTTTGGAATCCGGTTAAAGCGCCGGACATTCGCTTTTCGTCCTCTCATTTTCGTAAACAACACCCCCGCCACGAGAAGGCAATGAGTAGGACTTCCCTGGCAGAGGCTATATACGCGTGGCCGTGTGAGAGTATTTCGAGAGGGAGAGCGGACTCTCCCCACTCTCGGCCGTACCAGGGCATTCAGGGGGCCATATACTATTATTGACAGTGCTGTAGAAAATTACAAGCAAAATTAAGTTGAATTACTAAGGTTATGTTGTGTATGTCAGGTTAACAGATTTAGCTTCTCTGACATGTCACAGTACTTACTATCAAAGATCTTTTTTTTCTAAAAGATATCCCACTTTACTAATAATAAACTTTTCTATTTGACACATTTAAACAGGTTTAGTAAAATATCTTTTCGGTTCCTACATCATTAAATATCATCCGGATGGTGCGGAATCGGACGAGATAATTGTCGATTGTACTCCACCGTTTAAACGTATCAATTTCTATGATGATTTAGCAGCTAAACTAAACACTAAACTACCTCTTCCAGAAACATTTGAAACAGAAGAAACTCGTCAGTTCTTTCTAAAAATTGCAGCTCAACATGGTATTGATTGTCCAGAACCAAAAACTACAGCCCGATTATTAGATAAGGTAAATTGAATGCTTATACTTCTCTTTGATATTCGATTATACATTATAGTCCCCATATGTACTTAATCATCTGCGTATTCTAAGTCGATAAGTGGACCTCCTGGAATGAGACCGATTCGTGAAAATTCAGTCGACGAGAACGTTATTTGTATCAGTAGGTCTATACGTCTTGACTAGGAGCAGATAAGAGTGTCGTCTTTTCCCGAGATAGCTTCACTTACACTTGACTTATTAATCACAGTTTCTTTCGTTAGTCTGAAGAACTGTCTTGTGTTCCCTACAGCCGCCGCCTTTTCTACCTTTTTTGTTTTCGTTGCCCACCACTGCTCACGGTCGTTCTTTAGACTTTTGGTTAATCTACATCTGATTTGTCCTCGCTCTTTATCGTGTTCAGAGCGTGATGGGATGAGTTTACGAGAATCCATCAGTGCAATAGACCTAGAAGAAATCCATTGGTTCTTTGTAACCCTGTGGTTTAAATCACTGATAGATGTCACTGCTGTTTCCATAGCTGCTTGTATATCTTTCCAATCAACATCTGGGTCAGCCTCGTTTTCAGAACTACCTAAGTGTGACCTCAGTTGTTCCTGGAACCTACTTTTGATTTTCTCGTTACTCAATCCAGTTCAAATGGGTCTTTTTAGTGTGGCTGTTTTGCGTCCAGTGAGGCGCAAGCAGATGCGTACCCGTATTAGCGCATGATCGGAGTCCAAGCAGGTACTCCATAATGAGCGACAATCTTCTACCAACCCTCTCCAACGATGACTAGTGGCAATATGGTCTATTTGAGTCCATCGTTGGTTCGGTGCAGGGGGTCGCCATGCTAGACGATGTCTCTCTTTATGCTTAAAATTTGTTTGCTAAAAATAAACGATTGTCTGAGCACAGTTGCAACAGACGATCACCACTATCCGTTCGCTGTGCTGGAATACTAAAATACCCACCTAAATGTCTTTCTGTTTGATTTAAACTACCTGTCTGGGCATTAAAGTCACCAGCTGCGAGTACTGTGTCTGAACGTTTAGCTTTCTGAAGAAGTTCAGAGAGCTTTCTGTAAAATTCATCTTTCACTTCATCCGAGCTGCAGTCGGTGGAAGCGTAGGCAGAAACAACAAAAAGACAACGACGTGTTTCCCTATCCTTCCGAGTTCTTACGGAGCCGTTTAGCCGAACAGCACATAAACGGATGTTAACGGGGATCCACTCTGACAGTGCTTGTTCCGCCCTCGTGCTTAGCGATACGCCCACACCTGCCAGTCCACGAGAACTGACCGTCGGGTCACCAGATACACGGAGGGTGTATCTCGTTGGCTCTCCGTTTTGCCGAGGTGAGGTCAAGTGAATGACCACACTGGGATCCTGTATGCGTGTTTCAGAGACACAGCATACATCAATGGTACGAAATTCTAGGGTTTTAGCCAAGGAAGCCTGCTGACCGATTCGACATAGGGTGCGTACGTTGGAGGCTCCAATGTCTAGTTTGGAGCGAGGTTTCAGTAGACCTGGGACAGTGTTTTAAGCACTAAAATCGTTGGCTATAGTGAAACTTGAAGGGGCAGCCGAAAAAGGAAGTTTAGAGGTGAAAGTCGATGTAGGAGGAGTAATAGGAAGTGAAGACGGAGGTTGATTAGGAATACAGTGGTCTTGAGTGCTGTTAGAGGTATGAGGGCGGTTATCACTCCCCGGTTGCCCACACCGTGGAAGGGTTCTTCTGGAGGTACCTGAAAAGGAAACTGGATTAGAGGTGGTCTTAGTGACCTGGGAGCGTAACCTCAGTGCTCAAGGGGCAACTGCTTGAGGTCGGTCACACACGACCTCTTTGGGAGTAATTTTCGTGTTAGCTCTGTACTTGTTGAGACCTTACCGCCGAAGACGGATATCCGTGGGATAATGCGTGGTGTGTATCTTTAAGGTTGACCTTCTCTAACTCCACCCCTCCTTGTGGGAATGCAGCATCACTGTTATGCTAGTTGTCTGAAGGAAACACCCTACCGCCGTCACACCTCTGTGCAGTCAGCAGTACGACTTCGCCCGCTTCACCTGACCTGTCTGGCATGTTGGGACCTTGAGTAACGATTGTTCTAGTCAGTATAGCTCGGTTGGTTCACCACGATAGGCAAGCACGACCACCATGTCAAGGTAGCATCAACGGACGGGAAAATTTCGAGAGAGATAACTGATTCTACTCTTGGCCGTACTAGGGCATTTGGGAGCTTAATCTAATGCTAGCATTCTTTTTTAACTAACTAATATCATGCTAAGCAGAAACAATTTCATTATATTTTTCACTTATTGTTCATTACTTAACGTAATCAGTTGGCAATCAGTGTCCATAAGTATGACATGTGCTTTGCACCTTCTAACTGCAAATACTTTTACAAGACTGTCAGAAACCTGTGTCTTCAGTGATTCTCTTTAGTGAGCAGTTAAAAGTAGTCGAGTTTGCATATTTGGGTAGCTGTGTAAAAGCAACTGATGCCAATTTGGGCTATTTTCGACATTATGTCGTTTTTTATATGAAAGTTCTAAAGATACTTCCTACATTAGTGATTTGGTGGCTTTCTCAAATATCGTATTTTTCATATTCCATCCTCTTTGTTTCTTTTCCAGCTGGCTGGCGAATTCTTAGAACCCTTGTGTGTTAACCCAACTTTTCTTACATGTCATCCATGTATAATGAGTCCTTTGGCTAAAGAACATAGATCTCGTCCAGGTTTGACGGAACGCTTTGAATTGTTTATGCTAAATAAAGAACTTTGTAATGCATATACAGAGCTGAATGATCCAGTTGTACAACGTGAACGATTCTTGGAACAGGCTAAAGTAGGTATTGTCTTATTTTTAAAAATCTTTTTCACAAATATTTTTTACTGTTTTATTCGGCTCTTATATATTTGTGTTTCTTATAGAGATTTCAATCCATTATACTTGCTTTTGTTGTCTAATGTAGGACAAGGCAGCAGGCGACGCTGAAGCCATGGTGACGGATGAACAGTTTCTCACGGCTTTAGGTTACGGTCTTCCGCCAACTGCAGGTTGGGGTCTCGGTATTGATAGATTAACTATGTTCCTGACAAATACAAATAACATTAAGGAAGTTATCTTGTTCCCTGCTATGAAACCTGAAGCCAACAGTGCCGCACCCCTAAATCCAATGTCTGAAAAGCCACAAGATAATAAGTCTTCTGTTTCTGTTAATAGTTACATACCAGCTGAACTGTTAAGCAATACTGAAAATTTACCAGATAATACTGTACTTTTGGATAGCAGTAATTTATCGCCTAAATCATCATTATCACCTCAAATCAAAGTATCACCAATACCAACTTCAAAAACACAAAATTCTCCAAGTCAAGAAACTAGTGAAACGCCACCTTCCAGTACAGGTAAAGGCGGAAAGAAGAAAAAGGGACGACGATCATAATTCCCAAAAAAGGTTATGACTGTTAATGAGAAACCTGGGGTAGACATTAATGGTGTGTTGTAAATGCATTTCACAAGGATAACCTTTTGCTTATGCTTTTTTGGTACAAATAAAATTTCACATGATCTACCTAAGTTTTGTGTTGTGTTGTTTCATGTGTTCGTCTTAATGAAACACTTTATCCACGTTTATCTTTGTGATAGAATACATGCTTGATTTTTGTCACATAAGCGTATTAACACTGTCTGAGCACTTGTCACATATAACACTGGTTTAAAAGGTAACAAATTACTACTTATACGACATATATTTAGGGTACAATCATGTTTACTTTATCGGTTTCATGGAGTGTGTAATTAAAATTTCCAGATAAGCGTTCGATTACTTAAATGTTAATCTATGTTTATGTCGAACAATATGTTATCGTTGAAGTAGTGTAATCTTACCATCCATACTTATGGAGGCAGATAAACAGTAAGATCAGGTAGTAATCTGTGTCTGTCTAGGTTACCATTCTCCACAACATAGTAATCAATTTATTCACTAGGTACTTGCGTATGAACACACTCTAAATGTAAGGGTTACCGACACTATTGCGGTTGCCCAAACTGAATTCGAAAGAGTTGATTTCTAATTAGAGAATTGATGGTCAAAAGTTGAACGTCTTAAAATTAAGCCATTTTTCCTCGACATCGATAGAATGTAAAACAAACTATTCATACCCACAGTGGTAGTAGGTAATCATCGCAAAAATATATCACAAATAAAACTAGTTTAATCAAGCGATGAGGGATATGAGGTAACAGAGTTGATATTAACGGGAAGAGATGGATTCAATAATCCATCCTATTAGTCTAAGGTCAAGGAACATTTTTTTATTGTCTCGCCGACCCTTGCAAGAAAATCCACATGTCTAAACGCAAATCAGGCCAACGTTTACTGAATTAACTATATAATGATATATTATGATCACACCTGCTTTTTAGCATATTTTTGTGCAAGCCTACGTAGGACTTCCGACAAAGGACGCTGTTTAATTATAATTGTTGCTTTAGATACATCGTACTAAGGAAATTTATGGAAAATATCATTTAACGAATTACACTATGATCGTTTTTGAAACAGAATTCTGTTGATTTAAAACCACTAATTTAATTTGTAAGATATATTCCGTATTTGTGGTGACTGTAGTATTCACTTGAAATCACGAGTCAATCTAAGCTACACCGCTATTGCTTCCAAGTTTTCAAGAGTAGTCTAGCTTAGATTGGCTCGTGATTGTAATTATGAACGTATTCCGTAGTTATTAAAAATAACAAGCAACCTAATGCAACATAGTAAACAACTCCACGCTTACATACCGTAATCTTATTGTATTCGAATTTTATTGAAGGAGATTCAGAATTGGAAAAATAATTATCTTTTATGTAGAAGTTTTGAAACAACTTTCCAAGCTAGTTTGTAATCCCATTCAGTCACCTACTCATTATCCGGTGTTGTTTACATTTATAACTTTATTTGTAACGTAGCTTAATTACCATCCAATATCAGCGGTGAGCTACTGTTTCATTCCAAATTCGTTAACTCTTGTTTCCATAGTTTCCTATTAGCATTTTAAGAAATGTTAGTCACCATTTTATGGTTTTGCTTAATCGAAGGCAATTTTTATGACAAACTGCCATCGACTGAAGAAGTATTATATACTTCCTTAGATATCAAACAGAATAACAATGAAATCGCAACTCATTAAATAAATATAGAAACTGATGTGAACAGGGAAACAAGAAGCCCTGACAAACTACGAGAGCTATTTTTCAGGACGTTATTCCATTTTATTCAAGGCCTGTAAAACACCAACATTTATTTTTCTCCCTAATCTATTCTACAGAACATAAGCTTTCGTTCGATGTATGATTCATTGCCATACACTTGTTTGTTCCGAAGCTATTGTAATTTAAACATAATATTTTGCACCCTATTTTCTACGCTAATTCCCGGCTTTGGACAAAATTGTATTTTTCCTAATTATTGTACGTTGTGGTCGGGTTAGTCATCTATTTATTCATGTAAATTTTTACGCTAATTCGAAATCAGAATATCGGGAATAGATCGAGTAGTGCTCCAGTTGTCTTGTCTTCTTTCATTCGCGTGTTTGTCAGCCAGTCAGGTAATAGAATATTTTTTTTCTCTCTACCCCACTTCGAACTCACGCGTACTAGCCTCATGGTTAGGTCGGTCAGCTTATCACGCCAAGGTCTTAATCTGGATTAGATAAGTATCAGCACCATAAGTGGGTAGACAGACCAAAGGACATAACAGAAACCAATATCCGTATTAGTTAGTGAAAATAATATGCAACGCCTCAACTGACTCGGTTAATTGTTGAACTGTTTGTATGCTCACGATATTTTTTAAAACCGAACGGATTTAAGATGACGGAATCACTTTTTAGTTGAATGTTTATATTACAAAATTAAAACTTATTTATTTACAAAATAATAATAATTGATCAGATCACAAGTTTGCTTAATCAAAGTTTTTCTGGATTTCATTTAAATAAACTCACATATATGAGCATATTACAAAAACATATACTTTTCCTTTTTTGACACAATCAAAAAAAAACGAGACAAAACAAAATGTTATGCAGTGTTCTACGCGCAGTGATCATTTGAATGTACTGGAAACCACTTTTCTTCCAGAGTACGTTGTATTGAGCTGGTTGTCAGATACTAACGAAGTTCCTTCGTAATTGTTGATTATCGTGTGGGGTATCATAACTACGAGGCTCGTGTAAATCGAATGAACAGAAGGAAAATCGATATTATTAAGATATCCTCCTGAATACGTGGCTTTAAGACGGTCACTGATGACGTTATCGTTAGCATCGTTTTGTTGATAATCTGGTGTTCAGGTTTGTGATAAAGGACTTTAAAGGACCATTCACATGCCATTTTGACAGTTCGTCGTAATGAACCGGGACGTAAAATATGTGTGAACTATGTAAGGTAGGTTGGACGAATACATCAGTTGACTTTGGTCAAGTGGAAACAGGCTTAGTTGAACGCATGGAGTTTGTAAACCTGCTCAAGTTAGATTTTAACCACTGAAGAATTTGAAAGATACACAAATTATCCTGGAATTCGGGATGTCGTTCTGTAAACGAGTTGTGCGCAGTGTATTCAACATCAGCTTTTACTACACTACGAATACCGAGTAGAACGAGTTGAATTGCGCCAGTTCACCGTGAAACATTTGCGGATACGAGTGAAGCTTTCAACTGCCGATGAAGTCGTTCTATTAAACCAATAGCTTGTGAGTGGTAGGCGGTCTGTAGTGATCTACTTTTATCAAGAGAACGCGATTTGTGTAATGGAAACAATTATTATTATTATTATAACCAATTGTACCAGGGATTGTTTTACCATACTTGTTTGTTCAACTGTACTACAGACATTCCTTCTTCCGTTGATTGTGACCTTGCGCGAATTCGGTTACGCTCAGTGACCACACTTGTACTCCTTCGGCGCGGTCTCGGTATTCTTTCTATACCACGAGATCGCCAACAAATACATCTCGACTACAGCCACCGACTGCCTTCTGATATTTGGCTTACGGGGGATCTTATCGGTTAACTGGCATGTAGTCTTCCTGTAGCGGTGACCATAGTCAACAACGACTCGACGCCTCACTACAACTGGTGAGTCAAATCTAGGAACACGTCTCAACCTCTGGTCAAATCTTCCAAAGAGGTTAATTGCGGTGAGTCTTTCGGAATCGTATGATGCCTGATAGTGTAATACGACAAGGAAGAATTCCGAATTCGAACTGGCGTCCACGGTCTGTTGTGACGGTTGAAGGGTAGCCGGAGTTTTCCACTCACCGTTTGACGAAGGAACGGGCCACTGATTCAGTAGTAATGTCCTCAATAGGCATTGCTTATGGCCATCAAGTGAAACTGTTTACACACTTTAAGCAGAGCGTCTATTTGAATCTGGTAAAGATCCTACCAAATCCATATGAACCTGATCGAAACAGGCATCAGGAGTTGTGAAAGCCCAAGCAACCAACAAAATGGAAAATGTTAGAAAAGAAAGTAGAAGTAACGGGAAAATACGCCAGAATCCCTGCTTGTTCGCCTATCATGGGGAACCCAATCTCCCTATTTTGGGAAAGTCGCTATAGAGAATTTTGGGGAAATGGCACAAGGACCCCAAAATTTCCACAGAATCCGTCTATATTGATTGATAAAACACAAAAGGTTTCGACAACTTTGGGGAAACGCATCTACGTTCTGTGATTGAACCCCGACAGTTTGTCGTTTGTTGCGGATATTTCGCACGATTTCCGATTATCGCAAATACCGTGTTCGGAAAACTGCAAGGAAGCCTGACGATTTGATACTAAGTACCCAGACGTTTTCGGGCATTTATTTCATTTTTTCTGTTAACTTCGCAAAATGAACGCAGTCCCAAAGCAATTGAAACATCGTTGGTGACAAGAACCGGTCTGTCGCTGTAGATCAGCATTGCGCTAAGAGTCCCTTGCAAAACTATTCAACATGAACCACATACTTATGTACAAACCAACAGTTTTTCAAACATATCTTCAAACTTTTTCATTCCTGAATTCTGATCTGAATACTTTGGTATCCTTCGACTATAAAGTGTTATAGACATCCGCAATACCTAGAGCTGAATAGCCGTGTCATATTTAAAATTGAGCGTGACGCTATCTGGAACACCAAACAATATACTCTGAGTTTGTTGCTTGGTGTAACATCACATATATATTTACATCTCACGTTATTATCGTCATGTCGTACTCCAGGGCTGTCTTATCATCAATACATTTCACGCAGTGAAGCGTGACCTACTTCTAGGACAATAAGTGCTCTGAATGCCGAAACTACTTATGATCATTTTCAGTACCTATTCATGGGTTTTTAGGGACAGTGAGAAGTCGATAAGGCATGGCCAAATAATCCATCAGACTGCACTATTTTTTCACCGATTTTCGGATAGTCTAATGTCAATGTTTGCGATGGGGTTGGAGAAAAATTCAAGCTCCCTTACAATTTCTGGAAGATTCACCAGAAGTGTTTTGTTACCAATACCAATTTGGGTTGTA